ACTTTTGAAACAGGAAGTGAAATAGAGGGATATGAGGCATGGCTAGAATGGGTGATCTGTTTGGTATTTTGAGCAAAACACTTCATAGACATGTTTTTTATATATTTGTATATATCTGAGACCTATGCTATTGCCTAAAATTAGCATGATAGGTGACCTTTAAATGAACATGGGAAATTGTTGAGGGGCAATTTTTTTAACTCAGTCTCTAACTTTCCCCTCTCTCTCCTCGTCAGACCGGGCCGGCCCTTTAAGAAGCTCGGCGGGCGCGGCCGGAGGAAGCGCTCGGCCTCGGCGAACTCGTCCTCCAGCTCGTCCTGCGAAGGTTACCCCGGAGACGACCGGCTGCTGTTCTCGATGCGGGACGACGACGACATGTCTCAGGGCAGCCTGCGGTTCAACAACAAGACCAAAGGCCTCATCGACGCCCTCACGAAGTTCTTCACCCCGTCGCCCGAGGGCCGCAAGGCACGGCAGGAAGTGGTGGATTATTCACAGCAGTGCCGCATCCGGAAGAAAGCGTGTCGTAAAGGAGAAGGAGACGATCGAGGAGGTGAGGACTGGTGGCCATGTCTGCTAAAAACACATTTTACTGCCACTGCACGATGACTTGCAGTCTGCCAATACAAATCTGTGTTTTATGCAAGATGTTGTTTATTTTTGGTGTATTTTTTGACAAAAAAAGAATACAATTTTTCAATAGATGTTTTCATTAAATTACTTAAAGGTGGGGTAGGTAAGTTTCAGAAACCGGCTCGAGTGCACGAAAATTTGAGCAGATTTTTTTCGGCTGCGTATTTTCAAATAGTAGCGCACTAGAGCTGGTTTCTCCATTCTTACCTACCCTACCTTTAACTGACCAAAAATTGCATTAATAAAGGTTTTGTGCTTGACATGGCATTCATAAACGAACACACTGTAAAAAGAATGTTGCAATAGTACACTAACACAATTACACCCTAACCCTAACCCTGAGACTATGAAACTGGCTATAGATTTTAAATTCTAAATCTTAAAAACTTCCACGACATAAATTATTAAAAGTATAATGAGCCATCCGAATCATGACACACACAAAAAACTGCATTTTCATGCAATATTTCTCTATGAGAGGTTGTCAGCTAGCTGCTTTCCTAACAGACGGCCACCCCTGATTGTAGGTCTAGGGTAGTAATGGTGCACAGTTGTTTTGTCATTTTCTGCCTGTGAAAATTGTTGCCTATGCATCGAAATAAATAGCTTTGTAAGATAAAGTGGCCACCTTCAGTTCTCTCTCCGCTGAGCTTTGAGGAGAGCAGCGTGGAAGAGGATACATGTGACAGAGCATCAGGAACATTCACTTCCTGTTTCTCTGGCCCCTCTGTCTGTGATTCAGCAGGTTTATAAACCTGTGTGAATGCAAGTGATGACTCAAAACTACTGTAGCCTATATATGAGTGAAAAGCCACATAAACCACGACAAGATGTGAATATACAGTAAATGTGCCTACGTGGTTAAAAGTCTCAAAATTAGCTATCTATGATTTATTTTACTTGTAATGTGCTATATAAAATAACATTTATATTTTGAGCAATACACTTTAATTTTCTTAGTTTAATGGCTTCATAAGATATGGCAACAGAGATTTAAAAACTTCTCTCAAAACCTCAAAAGAAGCATCAAATGAAAAGAAATACACTTGGTACAACCCTATTAACTACAGGAGGGCAAACTTTATGATATCAAAAAACCCCAAATCTGTCTGATGGTCTTGCTTTTGATAAATTAGCAAAGTCCCCCCGATTTAGAATGAAAATATTAGGGTTAATCTCAGGGAAAGCTGTTGTGTAAATGCTCCAACAATCACTCAAAGTTACACATTTTAGCATTCTGCCTCTCAAACTTCTCACTGGATAAGCACCAATGTTGACTCTGTGTTTGATCCCTGTAGACAATCAGGACGGCAGCGACTGGCGGGACGAGGATGAGAAACTCCCCGGCCACGAGAACCTGACGGAAAAAGACATTGAACTGTTCAGACACATCCAGGAGCTCGCACTGCAGGTACAGACGCAGAATATTAAATGTCTCTGACTGAGCCATGCTGGGTTCATAAGACGTGATATTATAGATGTCATTATTATGTTATAGCGTAGTTGCAAGCATTGTGAACCCGGAAATGTTGAGTGCACACAGTACAGGTTTTATGATAGAAATGAATAGTACGGGTCCCCAACACATAGAAACTGCCGGATGCTAACTTGCAACTGTTGGACAATTAGCACAATTAGCATTAGGCGCTTTCACACCGGAGTACTTTTCCCAGAAATAGTTCCGATAGTTCCTGGGATGTTGCGTTCACACCAAAAAGATCTTTTTTTCCGGGAACCTTTTCACCCCTTTTTAGGGCCTGCTAGAGAGCATGGACTTTCCTAGGGAGAAAAAGGTTCCAATGTCTGATTCTTGGCTGGGCGAATTGCAAACCCTTTTATTTCCCCGCATTATTAGCATTAGGCCAGCGCACCAATGGAGAGAGACTAACTTATGGCAACACAAAAGAAAACGTGGGATCGGTGGAGTGATGAGGAGGTGTCGGCGGTTCTGGCGATTTACCCGGGACATCGGGTGACGATTAACTGCCACCCGAAGTTCCGGAGTCCGGGGGGCTCCCGGACTTTGGGTGGAAGTATACGCCGTGAAGTTGTTTGCGGCCTGCCAGTAAACCCAAAGCAGAAGAAGAAGAAGTGACGTCAGCGGCTTCATTTGCGTAATCCTCCCTCAGGGACTTATTCCGGTGTGAACGCGATTTACTAGATGGTCCCGGGGAAATAAAAGTTCCGGGGACTATTCCTGGGAAAAGTACTTTGTGTGAAAGCGCTTATTAGTTGCGTTAATTGAAATGGATGGCATTATAGCCGATACGATAATACTTTAATGGTCAGATCAAGTCTGAAATTTGACTTGCATCACAGCAGCTCCGTGTGTAACATCAACATAGACAAATNAAACATTTCCAATGACCCTTTAGCGTGTATTTGATCTGGGATTTAGCTCTGTATTTACTGTGAGGATTGACTGATGCACAAAGGAGAGCTTCAGTCTGACTTAATTGAATATGGATCATTTTGAATTTGTTATGGGGGTTATCGAGGATGCTAAATACATTTCTGCCATTTTCAGGATCAAAAATGGCTGTTTGATCCAGGAAGTAGTCATATTTGTACTCTCGGTGCACAGGGCTATATCGGTAATTAATGCTAATCGTGTAAATAGCCCAATATATGCAAGTTGGCATCCGGCCGTTTCTATGTGCTGGGGAACAGTACTATACATTTCTAACATAAAACGTATTAACTCAACATTTGCGGGTTCACAATAGGGCTCTATGGGCTGGCAACTCGACTTTTTTTGAGTGCATCGGAGGAACTGAAAGTCAATAGCCGCGTTCACACCGGAGTACTTTTCCCACTTTAGTTCCGATATAGTTCCGAAATGTCGCGTTCACACCAAAAAGAGCCGGAACTAAAATGAGTTAATGAGAACCTTTTTACCCCCTTTTCCGTCCCTGCTAGAGAGCAGGGACTCTCATGCGGCTCTCTTGTGAGAAAAGAGCTATATTTCTGATTGGCTGGGCGGATTGCAAACCACGCCCCGTAAAACTCAAAAAAAGTGTTGTGAAGCCACCATTTTATTAGCATTATTAGCATTAGCCTTAGCCCAGGGCAGAAACGCAGAGAGATTAACTTATGGCAACACAAAATAAAACATGGGAAGGGGGAGATGAGGAGGTGTCGGCGTTCTGGCGATTTACTCGGAAGGCTTCAGTAGAAGCTGCTGGGAGTCCCAGAAGCTTCTACTGAAGCCAGTCCCCAGCAACCGGGGACTTCCGGCCGGGGATTTTGGGCGGCAGTATACGCCGTGAAGTTGTTTGCGGCCTGCCAGTAAACCCAAAGCAGAAGAAGAAGAAGTGACGTCAGCGGCTTCATTTGCCTAATCCACCCCCAGGGACTTATTCCGGTGTGAACGCGATCTGTTCATCAGAACTAAAGAGTTGTTCATCAGAACTAAAGAGTTCTGATGAACTAAGTTCTGATGAACTAAGTTCTCATGAACCTTTGTGGGAAAAGTACTGCGGTGTGAATGCGCCTAATAGGAACTTGGTCCGAGTCAACAACAGCCAGGTGTTAAAAGGTTCAGGTTAGACGAGCTCTGTGGGATGAAGGCACTTTGTGGGTGGAAAAGTCAATGAGCTGTGAGACCATTGTATTTTATTAAAACATTCATTTGCCATAGATCGTCTGACAGATTTAACATGATATCAGAAGCTCCACCACCATGTGTGATCCACCGCTAAAGGTGGGGGTTCAATACATGCAAATAATTAGGGGTGATTGACGGACCACAACATTACTACAAGAGGAATAAAGTGATTTGGTTATATTGGAAATTTGCTTGAGTTCCACGTTCTGCCTGTGATACTCTCGTGTGTGAAAGAGCAAGGCTCAGTGTAAACATACTTATCATAATCAAGATTAAATTGAATATTTACTCACACACTGTGAAATATGATTAATTTATTTTACTTGTTTTAGATATTACAGTAATCGACTGAGCAGAGAGGGTGATTTATAAGACAAAACAGGTGATTGTGAAACAAAAATCGCCACCACTATTTTCAGCCAAACGTTTTAATTTCCACGTGAAATTGGATTAAATGATCAGCCTTAGCCTTTGCCTTGTCTTAGTTTAGCACAGACACTTGATGTTGATGTCAGAGTACATCCTCTGTAGGAGGCGTGTGGTGCAGTGGGTTGTGCGTTGGTGTTGGGATCAGGGGTGCACAGGTTCAAACCCCACTGCAGTCAGCATGTCGTTGTGTCCCTGAGACACTTCACCCCAAATTGCTCCTGTGGGGATTGTCCACAGTATTGAGTATGTAACAAGTGACGTGTTATGTAATGATGGAGATGATATGGAGCTGACTAAAGACAGAGTAACAGAGCCAGAGCAGTCACAGAGAGGAGATGTAGATTACATTAACGTTCCTCGAGCGGCAGCAGATTGACCGGCTGTTTTTCCAGCGTCACAGGAGCCATATCAAAACACTATCCAACTGAAATGTTCACACCGGTGTTTAAGTGTTGCATGCATGCGGAGTAGTAAACGTTAATGATGTGTGAAAAGGACAGATGTGAGTATCCGGGTTGAGTTGCTTTGGAGTGAAGAACACAATCATCATAAACAGGAAGGGACTTCCAAACTGCTCTCGTGAATCTCTGAGCTCCACTTAAAGCTCCATCGCTAGCAGGTAGCCGCTCTCTCCGAGTGTCATCAAGGCGTGTGACGCAGTGGGTTGTGCATAGGCGTTCGGATCCGGGGGTCACAGGTTCAAACCCCACTGCAGTCAGCATGTCGTTGTGTCCCTGAGACACTTCACCCCAAATGTCTCCTGTGGGGATTGTCCACAGTATTGAGTATATAGGACAAGTCACATGTCATCAAGTCACATGTCATCAAGTCACATGTCATCAAGTCATAGCAAGTGGCTTTTCTCTACTGAGTTAACTAATTCATTGTATGAGCTCGAATGCTCACTGCAGTGGCTCAGGTTTGAGCGCCTGCAAGCCGCACAAAAACGATTGGCACACATTTTCCAAGAGTTTATGCAAACTTAAGAATATTTTGTAACGAGACTAAGGGCTTTACAAACATGATGGCTGCAAATAACTCACATTATAAAGTAAAATAATGATTTCAGAAAGATGTTTGAAATACTTTGACAACAGGAGATCTTGGTAATCTACATATAAAGATATATATATATATATTTCAAACCTTTCAACCTTCCTTTAGTGATAATGCATTTGTTGTTTCAAATAGCTTACTCAAATTAATATTTAGATCTTCGTTAGGGAGTGTCCCAAAAAGTACGACCATTATTGTTTTGTATAAGTTTACACTTTTCAACAATTCTTCCTCGTCATTTTAGAGTTGCAGTTGCTCCCTGGTGTTTTGCTGATAATACTGTTTATTCTTGATTTCCCTTCAAATGAGTAGGGGGTGCGCCCTCTGGTGTTCCAGAGAGAACTGCACCCAATAACACATGGAGCAGAAGCACCTCAGTGCATGCTTCTACCTCACATAATTATAAACACCGCTTCACTGATGATTTCAGATCTGTGTTTTCTAAATTGGGGTTTTGTATTTTGTATTTTGTTGTGTTTTAAAATGTGTTTACATCATGTATGAGGGTTTTCAGTCTGTGCCGGCTATAAGTATGGTTTTATTGTCTCATGCTTTTACATTAGTTTATTTTTGTCTTATCGGTTTTGTCTAAATGTATTTATGTTGTTTTTAAATGTGCTATATGAATAAAGTTTGATTGGATTGGATACCCAAGCTCCTACTTAACCAGGAGGCCCTTTCATTTTAATCTGTCCAATCACTCCGGTTAAAACCTGGACCTGACCTTTTCCTTTTTCCCCTCTCTTCCTTCCCCCAAACAGAAAGTGGGGGTGACGGGGCCACCAGACCCTCAGATGCGATGTCCGTCAGTCATCGAATTTGGAAAGTTTGAAATCCAGACGTGGTATTCGTCCCCCTACCCCCAGGAGTACAGCAGGTAATGAAACACAGAGACATAATGAACTTCAGTCCTCGTAGGCGGAGCCATCAGCAGCAGTGTGATAAAGCTCCATTAGAGCAGAGGAGGTGTTTCTGATTTGCTGAGTGTATTTTTATGTATGTAACATTAAATGTAATTAGACTTACTCTGTTACCAAATGTGCAGCCATTTCTTTATTTTTATTTCAAAGAGGAGTAAATAAAAATCTTACCAACACTTTTAGGTGCACACATATTTATACTAAACCATACAATGTTATTTGCTACTTTCAAAACAACAGCTGTGATATGTTTTAACAACTTTTATTTTGGATAATCTGCTAATTTTGTATTTAATTAAATGAATCCCTTGTCCCGGCAAAAAATAGCAAATGTTGTTATAAAATAGTTTTAGGAAAACCAGCAGATATCCAAATCTGAGAAGCTGGATTCAGAGTTTGCAAATGTCGCTAATGAAAAATAAACAATTGTGAAGACGGCTCCAGCTTTTTACAACTTTTCTGTCACTCACTCCTTCCCCTTCCCTCTGCCCTGTCCAGACTACCGAAGCTGTACCTGTGTGAGTTCTGCCTGCGCTACATGAAGAGCCGCAGCATCCTCTACCAGCACATGAAGAAGTGCAGCTGGTTCCACCCCCCCGCCAACGAGATCTACAGGAAGGAGGACGTCTCTGTTTACGAGGTGAGGAGCTGCTAGCTGCTAATGTGCTAATAATGTGCAAGAGTGATGGAGGATGATAACGCAGTAACCTGCAGTCACTTCTGCATTAATTGCACCTTGTTTTTTACTCTAGCCCTGGTTGTTGCCTCAGACTAAGCAATATGTGACCTGCTCTATCGAAATCAGTCGCATTGACCCGAAGACACATTTTAAGTATCAGGATTGTTTTTATACTCCAAATATTAAGCGAAATATGTCACATTATATAATGACTGTCACCGAGTCATCATTTTGAGAAAAAGGCCTTCAAAGTTTTCTCTTCTCTGGAATCCATTGATCTGATTGATTATTAGCAAATGATCAAAATACTACGGAGGGAAGATATTTTCATTTGGATTGCTGGTCTGCGGGATTGAAACTGGCCCTGATCATACACCTGAGGCAAGATGCTTTAGTCACAGCCTTCAGCGTTGCCGAGAAAAGTTTTATTTGCACTAAACGTATTTTTGATAAAAAAGGCCCCAAGCCGCACAAAACAAACTAAATTTGTTGGTTTCAGAACCGGAAAGTCTTAATACTTTTGAAAAATAAAGGTTTGAGTGGTGCTATTGATGGTGTAAGAAGAATCGAACATTTCCCTTCTACTGTCGTTGACGGAGAAGGCGTCGCGGCAAGGGGGGAGGAGGCCGACTGTAATTACTTACATTCGGCATCTCATTAGTATTTATTGTACCGGTCCCAGGCAATGTCAAAAAAGTAGACTAAAGTTAATTTTTGTTTCAGAACCGAAAGTCTTATAATTTGAACAAAGCCGTTAAGGTCTTACTATTTAATGTTGAAACTTCGGGAACCATTGCCGTATTAATGTTCGGCCGCGTCTGCCTCATTGAAATTGCAGTGTCCGTCCGTATTGGTTGTCGGCCACAAAGAGCACTTCCCAAAGGGGGCCCTTTGTTTGCGGTTATTGAGTGTTTGCGTTTACTAATGTGTTTGTGTGGTGTGAATATGTGTGTGTGTGTGTGAGCGCTCGGAAGAGGCATCTGGTATGTCGTTAGGTTTACTTTTTATAGNAAATTATATTTTATCAAACTGTATGTCAGTGTATCATTTAGCACCAAAACCACCTAAATACATGTTCACATATTTAAGTGTAACGGCCCGTCCACACGGCGGCGTGCGTTGAAGCTTCTTCCCATTCACTTTGAATGGGCTGACGTCACGCTTTGCCGAACTGCATTGTGGTTCCGTCGCTTCGCTTTGCTCCCTTCAAAAGATGAGAAAAGTTCAACTTTTGAAGCTTGGACGAAAGCGTCAGCCAATCAAATCATATGCCAGTACAAGCTCTAGCCAATCAAACCGCGTGCTTGTGTGTCAGGGGCGGGAGATTCATGTGATTGGTTGTTGGTCGAGTTTCAGACACGCCCACCGGCAAGCTTCAATGCACGCTGCCGTGTGGACGCTGCGTGACACTGTGCATCAAGATTTGCGTTTTAATACTTTGCTTATATTTTTGCAGAAGGTTTTACATGGAGTGGGTTTTAGTGTAATATTAAAAGAGTACTTTTGTAGCATTTCCCTCCGAATAATGGTCGTAGGCTTTACTGATGAACCAGAATTTATTCAAACTCCAGACCCAACGTAAGAGCTTGAGCCTCTTCGGGGGGTGCTAACATTTAAATATACAGTCCGTTCTTCTCTTGCTCCGCCGTTACATAGAAGATATTACTTTCTCCGTCACGTTGTTTTCAAAAGCTACAACCACTTCCTGTCAGCCTTGTTAACTCGCCTTCAACATAAAAGCATACAGATGAAACAGGAAGTTCACCTAAATTACATTATAAGATATATATAAAACTGCAACGAAAGCAACAAAAACAATGCAACATCCCCTTCAGTCTCAAATAACACACATTGGGTTATCTTCAACTTTAGTGGGAGCAGTATTTTTACAGGGCATATTATTCTATCAAAATATGCTGCCACTTTAATCTTAAACCAAGATATTTGAATGGGGATATTATAATAGAGTATGCTTACACTTACATATGCACTACACTTTCAAAATTGGTAGATTTGGCTATCCATTAGAAATAGACTGTGGGCTAATACGCACATTCATATATTAATAATTGACAATACTTTACTCCAACATAAAGTATGTTTATTAGTCCATTTCCTAATGGTGTTTAATTAACATCCTTACCAACTAAAGTGCCACCAGGGAAAGTCACTGATGTTATTAGAATAATTAATAATCAGACATTTTCAGTTAAGCTCTTCCTCCGGCTCTCGTAGTGCAGCGGCAGATTAAATTCAGAGTTGAGGTGTCTCCTGTTTTTCTGCAGGAGAGAGCAGGGATACCTGGCTTCCTGCCAGCCTTCCTTCCTCCTTCCTCTTCCTCTTTACGGCTCTTTGTTTCCCTCTCTATCGTCTGGGTCTCCAGAGACACGTCTGAGCTCACTGCCTGACACTAGCTTCTACTTCATTCTCCCTCACTTTGGTCCACAGCAGCTTAAAGATGGACTCCTGGACAGCCCTGTTTCTTCTAGTCATTTATATGGGGGTAGAATTGTCTCAATATTAATTCTGTGAACAGAAAAATAATTGTGTGTAATTGTGTCATTTGTAAATGTAAAACCCCTTCCACAAATGCATTACAAATATTTGCAAACTCTCAAATATGAAAAACAATTGAACACAAATGAAACGCGGACTAAGGACTCGTGCTCTTAATTGGCCGTATATCTATTTCCGAAAAATACAGAGTGACGCGAGCAGATTTAGGTTCCGACCGGCGAAGGTTTGTCTCAAAACTCTGTGTGTAAAAAGACGACTCACGGAGAATTGAGACCACACATTTTTGATCAACAATGCCTGATTAAAAGTTGTAAATGTTAGAGGGATATTCACAAGTTGCTTTTGTATATTTGTAAATTCATTAGTATTCAAAGATAAAAACAATTATTTTTGGAATTACTTTTACATTAGCAATTTCTTTTTTTTAAAGATTTGAACATATTTTTAAGTGGAAGGTGTTTTACATTTACCTTTAAACACGGATTATTTTTCTATTTACACAAATAATATTGAGACAAATCTACCCCCATACATTTAGGAAGCTTTGTGTTGATGTGTTTTTCTCTCAACTTTCTGCCGCTGCTTTTAATTGATGATCACTCTTTTTTTCATGTCCCTTTGTTATTCATGTTTTATTATCTTTGCTTTTAAATGAGTGTTTCTAAAAGCCATTTTATAATATGTTTCTTATTGTCTTTCATTTTTGTAAAGCACTTTGAATTGCCTTGTTTTGAAAGGTGCTATATAAAGAAACTTGCCTTGCCTTCCAGGTTGATGGGAACGTGAGCACAATCTACTGTCAGAACCTGTGTCTGCTGGCCAAGTTGTTCCTGGACCACAAGACCCTGTACTACGACGTGGAGCCCTTCCTCTTCTACGTCCTGACCCACAACGACAGCAAAGGCTGCCACCTCGTCGGATATTTCTCCAAGGTAAGAAGACCATGATGCAGATAAAAAGACATGGGACTCATCCTGACACACATGTTACGACCCTGGTCCCCCATCTTTGTTACGGCCTGGCTCATAGGCTGCAACAAAGATGGGAGACCAGGAAAGTTAAGTGTAACAAAAGCATATTTATTTACAATAACGCAAAAAACAAAGGTCTTCAAAGAAACCTAATAAATGTGGAAGTCAGTTATCAGTAATGATCGCGTGTATGGGTTAGGGCTGCTCGGTTATGGCAAAAATCATAATCTCGATTATTTGGGTCAATAATTGATATCACAATTATTAAAAACGATTATCCATTTACTTTGAAAACATCAATTTATTGGAGAAAAAAAATCTGAACAGTATGTTTTTAACATCTGATTACCCTGAACTTTGAGTATAATTCAACTGAAAAACCAAAAAAAAAAAATTATAAAAAAAAAAGTAATAATAATAAATTAATCGTTTTATTTCGATTACGTTGTTTTCGTAATCGTTGCAAGCCATAATCGTAATCACGATTAAAATACGATTAATTGAGCAGTCCTAGTATGGGTGTGTGAAAATGTGCAGAAACAAAGACGCGGACGTGTCCAACAGAAGAGTGAGAGGGCAGTAAGGGTTGGTGTTGGCCTTTTATGTAGACGGTCCAGGTGTGGCTCATCAGGTTGATCACCTGAAACACAAACAAGAGCCAGCAAGCAGAACACAAAGGCATAGACCCCTAGTGGAGTGGAGGGGGTCGTAACACACATCTTAAAACAACACAGAGGGATATTTACAAAACTT